CAATCTCAATAATGCAGGATTAAAATCCAGTGTTAGAAAAGACACCTCAGATCCAATATCTTGTAAAGTTAAGACTTAAAATCTGATACACACACACACACACACACCTACGCACGTACGTGTATGCATTCACACATGTGCATAGGTACATGTAAAATGATTTTAGAGTTCTTTCTTTTAGGAGATTTTCTAATTTAGGCAATTTTTAAGTGTCTTTGTGAATCAACTTTACAAAAATATACAGAATTTCCTTTTAAAAAATAAACTCCAAAGCAATCTATTTCTTAAAGCAGGCAGTGAATGCTGTTTCTGAACACAGTATTTTAGTTAATTATTCCCAATTCTATTTTGTTTACATCTTTTTCTGTTTCTCTAAATAGAGTCATCTCTGGGGTCTTGGAAGGTATTCAGTGTGTGCAGCAGGTCTATGGAGAACAATCTTTTCTCCAACATCTCCATCTGCTGGCTTTGAGAAAAAGTAAAATTTCACTTGTTATTTCTTTGAAGGTGATTTTTAATTTTTAAAAAAAAATATATGCTGATTTATAGAATTAAAAGATAAAATTCTTAAATTATTGCTAGCTATACAAATGCTTATTTACCATAATCATTCATTAAGATAAACAGAAACAGATTACCATGTGCTAATTTAATATTTACTCCTTAATCCCCAAACCCTGGGAGATAGGATACACATGTGTATAACCTATTTAGAAAGTTTCTCTTTTAATGTTTTTCTAATTATTGTCACATTAAATATGGCTAAATTATGCTGAACTTATAATGTTCAATTCTTTCCTAAAAATCCTTGTTGGCTTTGTTAGCTATAGAAACAACAGTATCAACTTATTATTTCCTCTACATTGAGATTTTCTGCTATCATGATGAATTGCTTGTGGAGAATTGCTGAAGTCCCTTTCCGCTCACACACTGATCCACTCTGACAAGTCCTCAGAGGCTGCTCCCTAAAACGAGCATGGAATTTCCAAGACCACCGAGTCAATGATCAGAGAACAACTGCTATTTAGATCACGTTTTCTGATCATTGGAAGGCAATGGGGACGTGGCGCTGGATGAATGAATGAATGAATGAATGAATGAATTTGGAGGGGCCTCACTCCTTCCAACCTCTGCTCAGATGATAATCTCAATTTTCTCCTTTCTTTTCACCTTTGCATTTTCTTATAGAGATGGCCGGTTTAAACATTCATTTCAAAAAATATCTTAGTACCACTTGTAGACAAAAGGAAAGAAAAGACATGGGGAAAAGAAAGGAAGGGTGTGAAAAAGAAAGGAAGTGACAGAGAAGAAGAGGAAGGGAGGAGGGAGGGAGGGAGGGGGAGGAAAGAATGGAAGGAAAGGGGGAGGAAGAAAAAGGAAGGAAAGGAAATAAAAAGAAAAGAACACAGGCAGCTACTGGAAATCTGTCTTGAGCTCCTCTGGTATCCATGGAAACCAATGGGAACAAACAGGTTCTTCCACTATCCCTCTGTGACTGAAGGGTGTGGGACCTGAGTGCAGCCGAGCTATTCCTGATGATCAAAATAAGATGACTTCCTTTCGTTGAACCCAAACCATCTCGAAGTCTTAGATCTTTAACACCATGTCAGCCTCACCGCCCTGCCTAAGTCCACCCACCTCACAAACACAGTTTAGTTGCTAAGCGGAACCTTTCCTCCATCAAAACGACACCATTAAATGCTAACGTTTTGCTTTCTTGACAAACGCATTCGATGATGTTGATTATTCTCTTTGCATTGACTAAGATAAAGAATAAGGGAGTGCAGAAGGAGCGAGGCGTGATTCCTGTAACACATTGGCATTAGAGAACTCCTTAGGGTTCTGAAGAAAATGATTTTATTTGTCAGTGTTCCTAATGCTGTTGCATCCTTCCTATGAAAGAATACAGCACACAAGTAAAATCCACAAGTAAAATCCAGAGCAGAGTTTACATGATCATGTTTAGTTTCATACATCTGACAGCAGAGTCCTATTTACTTAACCGTGGAAGTCATGGTTGTGTGGTTGTGCTTCTACATATCCCTCCCATATCCTTCTTGCCCTTTAAAGGGTTAATTTCACAATTTTTATTGTCTTTAGCAAAAGAAAAAAGGGAAGGAAATAAAGGAAGAAAAAGAAAAAAATGGTGAATATATTTCCCTTTGCGGGTTTTGAAAATTTTAAAAAGATAAAATGAATTTTAAAACATGTAAATTGACTTTGCTTGCTCCACTTGTCAATGCGGACTCTAGAAAATTCTGTCTATAAAACTTGGTTTCTGTAATTGTGCCATATGAGTTGTATGCAGCGGTCAGGAAGCTCACAGCACGGGAGTCACAAAAGTCAAGGTGCTAGATTCTCCCAGTGCCGTCTTTTTGCTTGGTCCGTCCATGTTGTTTTGGTGCCTGGTATAACGATCTGTCGGTAGGGAAGTCTTATGATCTGGGAAATGACATTTTAAAATTTTTGCTTCATTTTTTTTTAAGAAAAAGAAGAAATCTACAAAAACAGTGACGACAGGTATACTGGATTTTCAGAACTATACGGTCAGATATATGAAATTCAGTAGTTAAATGAGAATCGGGCATTTGTTCCATGTGTGTGTATGTATTCTTATCACGCATCTTATTTCAGTTCAATTCATTCTCGAAATAAACCCACTTAACTACATTAGACTTGAGGATACACACCACACAAACTCGATATAATCTCTGACCCTTAAAGAACCCCGGTAGAGTGGCTTACACCTGTTGGAATTGAGAAACACTAATTTAGTTTGTGGATGTATCTGTTATTTTCCTCATTATTTTTGCCTCATTATTTTACCAATATTCAGCTTCCTGATTATTAACTATTTTCACAATGTCTTGTCAGTATCTCAGAACCTATGTACACACCTACTTTGCAATAGAACGCGTCGTGACTCTGTATATGTACATACCATTTCAGTTAGGTAAAATGCTCAACACGGGCATGTCAAACTACAACTCACAAGAAACACGAACAACTTGCTTCAGTAGATCCACAGGTCAAATATGGACGCTTTTGACATTTATTTAAACAGTTTCTTTGTAATTGCTATGCAATAACATGTATTGCATTGTGATACCCCCCTATGACATTCTATCACATTTTAATTATTTATTCACTTATTTATTTGGAGGGTGGCGTGTAGAGGTCAGAAGACAACTTTCAGGTGTCAGTTGTCTCCTCTGGTGTCAGGCACCCAGGGAGTAAACTCAGGTTCTCAGGCTTAATGAAAACAAAACAAAATAAAAATACAAAATGCTTTTATCCACTGAGCTACCTGGCGTCCCTGCTATGTGCAAATCCCCCTTCTATCATTTCTATCTCAAGCTCTAGTTCTCCTTCGTTTCTGTCTCTATTGCTATGTGCCTTTCTTTAATATTAACATTTTAGGAGATCTTTATAAGTTGATCCTTCAGAAAAGCTACAATTCTGGCCATGTGAATGACTACAATCACATTACCCTAAGCTACTATTTATTTATTTATTTATTTATTTATTTATTTTATTTTATTTCCACTTATCCAGGGACGGGAGTTGCGACCTGGCCTGCTCATGTCCCCGGTGCTACAAAGCTAAAGCTCAGAATACATGACAGGTTTCTCAGGGGGAGGTGGGTGTGATGGTAACCGGCTGTGGGACTTGGGCATTTCCTCTGGTGATTTTCCGCTCTGTCTGTTACATGGGAGTTAAAGTGGGAGGTAAGCCACCTGCAAATCTTCCCCAAATTGATATCTATGGAATGGAAGCTGAGAACATCAAGGCAGGAAACATCTGCCAGCCTGGAGGCCGGAAATGGTGGCGGCTGGGAGCATGCAGGATGATGCTGCCTCAGCGCAGGGACCGGGCCGCCAGCCTCGGGCGACCTCGCACTTGCGACTGGGCTCGGATCATTCTGCCCTGAAGCCTTGCCAGAGCATCCCCGCGAGTTCCCGAGCCCTGCACAGAGGACAGGGGCTGATACTGAGAACTGCAAAGGCTAAAATGGCTGATCTGCGACTTCTTCAGATTTTAAAACTCAGCCGGATGCAATCGCTTCCGAGTCATCCTCATTCTCCAGTCGCCTTTGCCCGAGCCTGAAAACCTGGAACAAAGCACGCGCGGCCAGCAAGTGCTCTGGCCATCCTGGGCACTATTTAAGCAGGAGCTTAAGTGAGCTGAGAACGGACCTAGCTTCTGGTTCTCACCTTCCTCATCCCCATTCTGCTGGAGACCTGGTTGTGGTTTGTATCCCCGAAGCTGGCAGACATCCATCACCACCCTCATCCCCCACTGCATCCTCATCCCTTCTGGGTCCCTATCCGCTTAGCATCCCTTCCCCTTCTGCTCACACCAACCAGTCAGGGCCTGCGTCAGCCTCGTGCCCGCGCCCCTTGGGTGGGCATTATGTAACAGCCCCGGTCCCAACTCCACAACCATTGTAACAACTTGTCCCGTGCAATAGAAGGACGTGGGGCTCACGGAGACTGCAGGTCGGAGCTGCCCTGCCAGGCTACAGGACTAAGGCAGTCCCCCCATGGGATCTGTCCAACAGTCCCACAGCGCGCCCTGGGGAACAACGTGTTCTCTGTTGGTAGGATGCCAATAGGCGCACAAGAGGGAAGGGGTGGGAGAGTCTCTTTGGAGGTTCCAGAATCAAGCAAGAACCGCCCCCCCCCGACCCCGAGAAAGACCGGTCGGAGTCCAACCCCCACCCAACTTCTTAGTGCGCACACTGGTACACTGTTCAGTGCCTTTTCCCCCTTCTCCACTGCCTGCCGGCCAGTGGGGGTCCCCAAGATTACAGCCACCTTTTTTCTGCACCCTCACACGCACGCGCGTGTGCAGTCACTCCCACCCACACATGACATGCCAGCAATACACACACACACACACACACACACACACACACACTCACACACCATCCCACGCTCGCATTCAGTAGCTTGCTTTCCCTGTGCAGCACTGGAAATACATGAATATTCATTACTTACAAGCATTGGTGACTGCGAAACTGTTGGCTACCTCCAAATTGTCGATATGGGGTGTCAATCTGAACTCCGAAGTGGAAAACTGAACCATCCCTACCCGAAATGCACTGTATTCTTGATCAGCGCCCCTTGGAAATAGCCCCCCTGCAAAGAATAAACAGCAAGCAAGAGAACCATGTCAGAGCCCTGGAGGGATAAGACTGGAGCCACCCTAGAGCCTTTGCTACCCGCTGGGATCAACACAATCACTGAGTTGGGCAGCAAGGGTTGGACATCCAAAAGGTGTTCAACGCGCCTAGGCACAGAGGAGAGTCTGAGGGCCAGAAATATTCTCCTTCTTAATTGCAAGCTTTGAGTTTGTATTCCCCACAAAATCTGAGCACACTACAAGACGCCTTCAAGGCAGAAGTAACGCAGTCCGGGGGTCAGAAATGAGCAGATCTTTCCCTTTATTGTGTCCAAAGGCATAATCATTTCTTTTTGCCTCAGCCTAAGAAAATCATGTATATTCTAGGTAGTTTAAATCTGGAATGCAGTCAAGGTATGACATAAGTCTACATGACATGAATTAATTTGCCCACTGTGAACAAAGATTACCAACACATTATGCACAATTCAAAGGCAAAAGGTACCTACCTATCTGTATGCTGTTAGAAGAGACACCAAAAATCAGTCCCCATAAAACAGGAGAAAGGAGGACAGAAATATGCATAATCTTTTGCATTTCCAAGAAAAGTAGAGCATCCACAAAATACCCTCTCTTTTCCCTTTTCCTCCTTTTCCTTCTTTTGCCGTTTTCCTCAACAAATTAGATCCTCTGCATTTTGAGATCGAAATTTAGCAAGGAGCTGCTAAAAACACGAAGTGGAGGCAGAAGAATCCTTATTTCCTGGGTCTTGCTGATGGCTGTTGATGCCTGGCGTCCTGTCCCCTCTCCTGAAGTCCCGAGGACTGGCTGAATGCAGTTTTCAGCTGAGCTGCCGCTGTGGTCCCGGTGTCTGGGAATATTCAGCACCCTCCCATGCGCTCACACAATCACCCTCTTTCGAGCTCTCTTCTCCTTCTCTCCTCTCTCACACGCGCGCGCGCACACATACACACACATACACACGCGCACACACACACACACACACACACAGGAAAGTCACAGAGAGGAGCAGGCAGTCCCCGGCGCGCGTGCGCGACTCGTGGCAGGCGGCGGGATCGCGCACCCACCCCTCCCCCGCACAATGCCCCGCACCCCGCACAGCCCTAGCAGCTCCTGCGAGGTGCCAAGAAAGCGCGGCTCAAAACCCGGCAGCCTGGTGCCTCTTAGAGACCTCCAGTCTTGCACATCTGAATTTTAGCACCGAGGACAGCGCTTCTGTCTGCGCCCTGGGCTGAGGTTGCAGCAGAGATGCTCCAGCCAGATCCAAAGACTGCAAAACTGATTTCCGGTTGCTGTGCCTAGGAAACCGAACTGCTAATTGCTGTTGGCAGTGGCGCTTTCTTCCGTCGGGCCCTGTTGTTTTACATTAAACAAAACGATTATGATTTGATCGCCTGAAAATCCACTTAGCGATATCGACACGCTGTCTTCTGCGTTACCTGATCCAGCTAAGAGGCAAAGGAAATACTCCCCTAAGAGAAGATTGCCAAAATTGTGAACTTTAGCTTTATATGATGTAGACATAATCCTGGGGAAACCCCAATTTCTATCCTTAACTACAAAAGATGAAAAAAATGTATCTGGATTGAATCTTTGAAGGACTATGTGTGGAAACATATCTTTAGAGTATATCCTTTTGGGTTGTGGTATGATTTGTTTAAGCCACACTGCCTGTGGATTGCTCTTGTACTTCAGTGCCGACTCCCTCCTACTGTAGGGTCATGTAGACTTGGCTCTTAGATGTCCTTTCTTTATATGGATTGAAAGGAATTGTAGTTTCCTGGGAGGGGAAAAAATAGACCATGCTAGTCTAGAAAGACTGCAAGGCTGCAAACCCTTTCCAGACACTTAGTTCCACAAAGGATACCCCATCACATTTTGGGTTTAAGTTAAAAAGATAAGTATTGCATCATGAAAAGAGGTTACTTCACTACAGCAAGCCCGTTTGAGCCTCTGGGAAACAAAGAATAGGCTAGAAATTAAAGTTTGTGGGAAGGAGATCGGTAGAGAGTACTGGAGATTGTATATGCCTGTGAAATTCATGTTCAACATCCTACTGCGTGCCAAGCCATCTCCATGTACCTGCTGCCTCGGGAATTCAACAAATTGTATGTGCTCTGTTTTACATAGAGAAGTAAAGACTCACTTCGAAAATACTGTTGCCAGGAGCCAGGAGACTGCAGCCGACAACATCGGAGGAAGAGTCCGCTGTTGGTTCAAAGTGCATGAGAGTGCTTCACAGTTAGATCTTGTAGACAAAACGTGACTTTCATATTGCGCATGGTGGCATCCCTTTTAACCACATTAATGCATACTTTTCCCTTAATCACACTGGACCTCAAATTCTCCATTTGTTAAAATATATTTTTAATAAAAAACACATCTCCAGACTGAAAATGAGAAGGGATGAATGCAAGTAAGAAACACAGCAGTCCCTGTGGCCTTTAACCCCTGTAAGCTTGTGATTTCATTATGATCTCTCTTTCTCTCTCTTGGTCTTGCTCTGTCTCTGTCGCTCTGTCTCTCTGTGTCTTCGTTTCTGTCTGTCTGTCTCTCTCCCTCTGTGTGTGTGTGTGTGTGTGTGTGTGTGTTCCTAAGACAAAAGTGCGGAACGTGTATATAATTTACTGAGCTTATATATCATAGGTGAAAATACCTTCTTTCTGTAACCAATAATTCATTTCACATGTGAATCAAAAACACCATAAAAATATTAAGTCAGTCCTCTGAATCAAAAGAGATGAAGCATAAGAGAAAGTCAATGAGAATAAAATTGTAGGCAGAACAAGAATTATAAATATCCCAACTTGTTACATAAAGAAAAATAAAAATTCACACACACTTTCATTTCTACTTCCAGTGACAAACACAGGAGTAGTTTGAAGTTTATGAACTAGAAGAACAGGTCAAGAGATAGAGCAAATAAAGTATCTCTTCAGTCACAATCTTCTTTTTCTTACCGTTCAATATTTTCCACCAAAGCATCTTGAGTCTTCTCCAAAGTGCTTTGGAATGGGAGTTGGATATAACATCTGAAGTATGGGGGGGGGGGGAGGATTGTGATATGTAATGGGTCTCTGAAGAAAATTAAAATTAAAAAGAAAGGGCTTTTTTAAAAACTGCTTTTATCTTAACCTCTTTGAAACCCGAGGGCAGATAGGAACTCAAAGTTGACTGGATTATATTCTATATCACAAATTTGCTGAATCGTAGGACATCCTCCCCAGGGAATACGCACAGCTGCAGCAAATATTACCTTCTGGCAATAAGTTGTAATTGATAATAAGATCTATAAAATTTTATCAGGCATTCTTTGTAATTCAATATATAGTCTAGTAATCTGTGTTCATTTAGGTAAACAGCTGACCTTCACACGCCTACAAACATTTCCTACTAAAATACAGCATAATTACATTTAAATGATCTTCCATGAAGCTTTTCCTACAGCACATTAGCTAGTAAATATTGCTTTTCACCACAGAATGCTAATAGTACAATGAAGTTAAAGCGAATGGAATAAACAGTTATATCAATAAATGGAAAAATACTGATGTTTCATTTTCATATTCTAAGATCCCCCTTTAAAGTCACAAAGCTTCATGGTTTTGATTACTTATCTTAAACTTTATCAATATTAAAATCAATTTTAAATATTACAAGAAAGTTAAATAGAACAGTAAGGTCCAAGGACCATGTTGCTATTTTCTGCCCTCTGCTGTTCATTTCTGGAAACTATGTAGACCTTAAACATTTTTTTCAGCTGCAAAAAAACCACACAAAAGAAAAGAAATCATAAAATATTATCTTCCTCATTAATTGTTTCAGTGATAGGTTGGTGCTGTTGCTCTTAGCATGTAATAATATTTAAATATAATTTCTTAGTATGAAAGCTGCAGATAAGAGTTAGATATAAATTTGGTAATCTATACCTTAGTCCACCTTTATTTAAATTACAATTTTCTTTTAATTTTTAAAGTACATTTTCATAAACCATTTAAAGAATTTAAATGTTTGTCAAGTCTTCACATTTTTATAGTCATATTATGCAATGCAAATAATTTTCATAGAGAAATTTTTTATGTGTGGTGAGAGGGCTGGTGGTAATTTTGGATAAACTAGAAACAAACTGCTGACTGTATTCCTAGTCAAAAATTGTATTACAAGCACAGGTGATGTAGTTTATACTGATAAAGTCTGACCCCGTGGAAGTCATCACAACCCTGAAAGGCTTGGCTGTAAGTCAGCAACAGAAAAGAATCGGATTGCATTCTGTACACAGGAAGTGTCCGAAAGATCAGTCACTGCAGACATAACAGAATTACAGAAGTCTGATCACAAGACCCCACTTCCTAAGACACCAGAAATAAATGAAAAAGAGTCATGAGGATATATATATATATATATATATATATATATATATATATATATAGAAACACATTCTGAGGTTCTTTCTCAATCAAGAAAAAAATAACAGCATAAATAGTCAGATTGAGGCAATATTGTTCATACTGTTGTTTTGCCAAATATTTAAATTATCAACCCATCATTCAAGTTCAAGGCTCAAGAATACATATCTAAAATGGACTTAATAAGCATTATAAATGTGCATATATGTGCATGTGCATTTATTTAAAGGACAGTGTCCTAAAATAGGAAAACATACTGTTCATTTTAGGTTTAAAGGTTTGGATGACATGAATTTTAATTTTGGCATCTATAGAGAGCAAGAAACTAAGCATTTATCTATCCTAAATGATGCCATAAATAAAAAGATTAACGTGGTGTGATGAGGGATTGATGAACCCGAAAGTTAAAACAATTTGTCAGTGAAATGTGAAGGTGGCAGTACTGATGGATAATCTTGGTTTTGAACTTAACGGACACAGAAGAGGGAACTTCAATTGAATAATTACCACCATTAGACAGATCTCTAGGCATAGCTGTGTGGCATTACCTTAATTGCTAATTAATGTAGAAAGGCCAAGTCCACTGTGAGCAGTGCGATACCTGAGCAGGTGGACCTGACTTGTTTAAGAAAGATCGCTGAGCAAGCCAGGGAGTAAACTCAGTAAAAAGCCTTCCTTCCTCTGGTGTTTCCTATTTCAATCGCTTTGCTTGATTTTCCTACCTTGGCTTTCTTCAGTGATGGATTGGACAGTAAACTGTAAGCTGAAGTAAATCCTTCCCTCTTGAACTTGCTTTTGTCTGTCACAGAAACAGAAAGAAAACTAACAGTAGTCAAATACTGCCAACTCTATCTTGGATTTCAAGGGAAGAAACATGTCATCAAGGGCTCACACCTGGACTGAGCCAAGCAGAGCTTAGCTAAGGAAAGGGTAGCACTTTGTCGAGGAAGGCAATTCATAGAGAGCCAATGACATCAGCAAAGCATGGGCATGTGCTGAGAATTGAAAGTGCTTCAGTGTTTCCAGGATAAGGAATATGAGGCTAAGTCACAGAAACAAGCAAGATCATGGCTTAAATTATATATAGTATATAAAGATGCATATATCACACATGCATATTTTATAAATATATGTGAATATTTTATATGTATACACTATATATATTTATGCTTTATGTTACAGGGGGAAAGAGACATTCTGTAGATCACAGGGAGATATAAGGTCTTAAGACTTGCTTCTTAGGCTATTTTGGAAGCATTGTTTAAGTAGAAGCCTATTAAATATAGGAAAATATGGTATGAATCTGTTTTTCAGAAGAGATTACAAGGCACTGAACTAATAGAGTCACAGTAGAGATAGGAAGAAAAGGTTGGATTGAAAAATATGTAGCTGGGCCGTGTTGGCACACACCTTTAATCCCAACACTTGGGAGGCAGAGGCAGGTGGATCTCTGTGAGTTCGAGGCTAGTCTGGTATACAGAGCAAGTTCCAGGACAAACAGGGATACATAGAGAAGCCCTGTCCCTAAAAACCAAAACACTACCACCACCACCAAAAACAACAAACTTAGGTAGACCCATATTAGGTTCTGCCAGTAGACTTGTGTGTGATGGACGTAAAGGAGATAGAGAGATAAAATG